GTGTGCCGCATTCATATTGATATCAATTTTTCCGACGGACTCGTTAATGCGGCATTTTATTATATAATAAAATCGCCTTGACAAACTGTAAATTCGTTTTCTGAGGAGGAGCGTGAAGCGCGATTACCGCACACACGTGCCGCGTGTGCGAATTTGCATATCATCGCCGTTACGCGTTTTTGTGGCGTACAACGCACATATTAATATAAAAGATAAACTATTCTTATTTACATAGATGGGAGGATACACATTTTATAAAATGTGAAAGGAAAGCAAGAGAGAACGGGTGCCTTTGTTTCTCACTCAGAGTCGCGTCGTCGTCCATTAAATGATCGTCGAATTGAAAATAGTTTGCGACTGATGTATTAATTGTATATTAATATTATTATATACAATTTTTGTTTTCGATTTAGAAGCTTTTCTCGCGCCACTCACAGCGCTCATGATTATATTAACTTAAAACTATTACAGACGCGTTTCTATTATTAAACTCTTTTCTGCAACGTCAGGACTTCAGATATAGATACAAAATGGTTAACGGAACAAGGACTGCATCTCGTCGCCATTTTTTTTACCGTGCACACGATCGGATGTCTTTTACGACCGGAATTAATTAAGCCGTTCCGACATTATCTCGCATGCTTGCGGTATTTAATTGTATGCAATTATAATCTTCTTTCGTTACGCAATCGCAATTGCTTCCTGTCGCTGCAACACGCTCCCCGCTCGTTGCTGAATGATGCATTGATAATTTTAGTCCACGAGCGTGATACTATTTAACCGAACAGTATCGACAATTTTTCCTTCGCGGAAAGGGAAGGGGGCAGACAATATTGCAAATGAAGAAAAACGTCTAGATTTTGCTGCGTACTTTAATTCCGTAAAAGAGTTTTGCATTTCTATAAAGCCAATACGTTAATACGTAAGACATCTTTTGCGGGTACGGCGCAAAAAGTCGATCGTCTTAGTTTTTACCGGACTCCATAACAATCCTAATTAACGATCTTCCGCACGACGTTCGCCGCGCGTGCATGATCGAGAATCGAGCCATTCGCACGCGTCTACGGCCAAGGCTGTTTCGACCGTAACGCGGCTCTTTAAAGACAATTCGTTTACGCGCCGCATATACATAGCGATATGTACGCCACGCATAACAAGACGGGCGAAACGGACGTCCATTAACAACTGATGACGTGTAACGAGGTGTAGTTCTTTTTTCTTCGTCCATAACGAGCGACGGACCCCCGCCAATTGCGTTTACGGGAATTGCGCGCGCGTGGCGGCATAATTCACAAGATCGACGTAGGAACGCCGAAATAAAAGGCCGCTCGTTGCAGTTCGGACTCTTTATTGCCGGTTAATTCCAGCCAGCCAGACAGCCATTACAGATCGTACGCGGTATCAAATTTCCGACCGCATTTTGTTATGTCAAACGTGACTCGTGATAGAATTACACGGCTTGTAATTCTACGGAATGGTCTCGTGTCATCACATTTTGTCTTCGCAAAAAGAAAAAAAAAATGCAATATCTGACGAGTCTTAAAATGACAATTGAGATATAAAATACAAATAGGACTCGATTATCACGAACTGATAATTAGGGTTCACTTATTATTTGTGTTTCTCTTATATTTTATTTCCTGCCGAAATTTGAAAATGCATATGTTATTTTACGGGTATTGCAACAAAATTGTTTCTGTTTAAGTATTTTTCTTTTATTATTATATCATTCAATTTAATAATTTGTACTCGCATCGGATCTCGTAGTGGAGACGCGCTACAAAGTTAAATGCTGAATCACGGACGGTTTGTACGTGCGTCATCTTGGCGCTCGTATTGCAGGAGCAATTTACTTTGATATCGCATACGCTATACATTATAGTCCCTTCACCGATCGCGCCTCCCTTTCGCATCAGTTTCATTGACCACAACGGCGATCGATGTTGTCTCTGTCATCCATCTACCCGCTTCTCATCTTCTTCGCGCTCGCATCATTCATACTCGCCGTCACACGTCGGAATTGCCTCTTTCGCGTTCCTCGGAGCCTATACGGTGTCTCAAATCCCATGTTACTTTTCTGAGAGCACAATTTTCTCAGCATATCGAAATTGGCAGCGAAACCGTTTTACCAGCGAATGCAATTTGTTTCCTTTTTCCATCGCGATCTCTATTCTGGGGGGAAAAAAGAGTTCATATTATTAAATGTGTTTAGTTTCTGTAGTTCAAATATATGTTTTCCCGTTAAACATACATAATTTATTGAAACGTGTATTTTTTAATTAACAAATATTTACTTGACGACCTGTGACCGCGACATACAGTTGAATCAAGAAATTTTTACTGGATTTAATATGATACTTTTTTTCTTCTCAATGTACTCGACTTTAATTCAACGCTATGTCGCCACGCTGCTTAATTTCCAATATTAAGAATCGATCGTTCCAACTGTCGGACAACTTTTCCCCCTTCGGTTAACATTCATTGTCTCTTTCTAAGGGGTTAACCTAAGGGTAAAAAGTTACCCGACAATCGGCCCTAAGTGTCTTAAAATTCTAAGAACGAAGTTTCACATAAAAATCTTACTAACTAAAATTTTTCTTGACGTTCACAGTACACGGAGGGAATTTTCTCTTAAAATTTACCCTGAAAATCACGTAATCGTGGGACAACATGGTATTTTGAAGACCTTTATGGGAGTTTTTAAAATTTTACCATACATTCTACTAGTAAAATGTATACCAAGTATAATTACTAGTTAAGTGTATGATAAAATTTCATAAGACTCTCACAAAATTATCAAAAATGCCATGTCCCACGATTACATAATTTTCAGGATAAATTTTAAGAAAAGATTCTCTCCTTGTAGCGCCTATCTGACTTTTCCGAGCCGTTCTCGGACATGCGTCGACATCGGGACAATCGTCTCAATTTGAAACTCTGGTGTCTACCGCGGAAAATGCGCGACTTTGGTGATACCCTGTACACCAGTCGGTACATTCAGGCCATTATACAATTAACGTGTTTCTCGCTCGCAGCCACGGCGCATTGCTTTTGTCGGTTCGCTCGCGTCAAAGCGCGTCCGTCGGACCGAGAGGTAACTCGATTCATCTCCCGTTGGTTGGCGGCAACAGTCGGCGTCGAAACGTTGTTCCGCAGGCCGGCACAGAGCTCGCCTATTATTGTTTACGTAATGTTTACGTAACGTCACACACGTACGCGCCGCATCAGCAGTCGCGGTGCACATGCATCGGCGCGAATCGGCGAAGCGAGTCCGCCCCGAGACTCGCATCTTGCGGAGCTTCGACAGTCGTACAATTTAATTCTTTTACGGCTCTGAGGACGATGTTCTCCAGAAGATATTTATCTTTCTGCTAGGATTGTGTGTGAAGTGACTGGAAACTTGGGAAATTGTAATGTCCTATTTGTACGAGTAGTTCGTTGTATCGCACCGATTCCCCTGTCCCGGCCATAAGCGATACAGAAATGTTCTTTTATTTTTTAAGTATATCTAAATATCGTGCTCTCGATCGTTCACAGAGGATAGTTGAGGAAATCGACAAAACATTTGATTGTTCATACTCTATCGCGGCCGCCTAGGGAAAAGATGCAAATTATCAATGATCGTCGGGAAATTGAATTTTAATCTTGTTGTGAATGAAGGCAGCGTGGCATTCATTCAGCGTATCTTCTTCCCCGCGATGCGCGCCTTGCGCTTTGTTCTTATCACGCAAATCGCCACAACACTTTGCGCAATCTTTAATTTACAACGAGATACGTTTTGCCGATAATCGCGTGAAAAAAAAATCCGTTCTTTCCGCTGAATCCCGGCTGGGATTTATCGCTACGAGGCACGTCGCGTTTTGTTTTATCAAATCACGTCTCGCGACGGATGATCGGCGTCGTCGAGGCGGAATATCGCCGCGTGCGGAACGAAACGGACGTGGAAAGGAGCCGCGGCGAATAAATGCCTATAAGCGAGGGAAGAGAGAAAAGGGGAAAGGAGCCACGAAAAAAATGTAGCTAACACTGCATGTGGTTACTAAATTTCAGTTGTAAAATACGGACAGCTGTTTAGTTGCGATAGTTAAATATTTTGCTACTGTGCCTATTGTATTGGGTGCGACAGCAAACTGCTTGCTATGGTTTAGAAATTTATAGTTACGGTAGCAACATATTTTTGCAAACCATGATTAGCTATGATAGCGAGATTTCTTTCTTCTTTCAGTGAGTTTGATTTCGCGGCGGCGGCGGCGGCTGCGGCCAGGTTGACGCGTGAATTACTTTATCGAGAGCCCCGTGAATAGCATCACGGTCGATATATCGCGCGGAGAGCTTTGCGCGCCGAAGACAACAAGTCTTTAAGGCGTGAAAGGGTGATTTAGCGAACGATGTCGATCGCGCCCCCGGGAATTATTAACGATGCGCACACCTCTCGTTCCATTCGCTCCCTTTGAATTCCTTCCTCCTTCGGCGTCTCGCTCCCTTGCCCTTCGTGAAGAACGATCATTTGCGTCGATCGTAAGATCCCCCCGTCCCGGGGAAAAATTGCATTAACCGCCGAGTGAGTCCCGGTGATGTTGTCGCACGAGGGTGGCGACGAGTTCGCTTTATCACCGAATGCTCGCGTAAAAGCGCGTCGTTTCGCATAGATTGCATAATGTAGTTTTTGTCATTCACGATAGTCGTCGAGATCCGCGGGATGCGGAACGATAATAAATCATATTGGCCCCTCGGGGATCGCTTCTTCTATCAATGGCGAATTTAATTTTTAATGTGCGTGATTCCGATATTTCTCCTTCCGTTCCTCTCTTTGTATTCGCATCAATTTTGCGCGACGCTACACGGTGATTTGCGATACCGCGACACCTGCCACACATTCGATACCTTTCCTGAATTATTACGGAATTATTTACATAAAAAGTTCACGAAATACATTATTTGTTTTATCTGCGCACATTTGACGTTATTCAAACAACGGTTTGTTTCTTTCCTGATTGCAGGCTGAGGACCTCCTGGACGACATCCTGTCGTTCGAGGCTGGTTCCTTGGGCGACGGACTGAAGGACGGCCAAGCCGGAAGTCTCACGAATATACCGGAGCTTCAAATTAAACCGGAACCTCTCTTACTCACCGAGGCAGAGATTCATGCTCTCGCTAAAGATCGGCAGAAAAAGGACAACCACAATATGAGTAAGTCGATAACCACTCACCTCGATTAGGTTGCAAAAAATTCACGTGCCGCATTTTTTTAATATTAATCTTTTCATTAAGCTGTTTCGTAATTTTTCAAAATGTTAGCTTTTCAACACGATTTATGATTACACCTTGCATCCTTAAAACGTTTATTAAAAATTTTTTTCAATTGAATCTTACACGGAAATTTAGTGAACTATAATCGAACAGTTAATAATATATGTAGGTATATAAGTTTTGATGTCGGTTTCTCAAGTCTGCGAAATTATTATTAGCGGTACATTACGTGAATGAATATGTTATGTTCTATATTTCGTCGAGGGTTTTATGCTCGAGGTTGATCTTGGACCCTAGGCATGTAGGCTTCTGTAATAAATGAATCAATTCTGTAATAAATGAATCAATTCTGTATCTTACGCTGAAAATTGAAAGTTTAATCGTTCCCTTGGAAAGAGACAAAGCCGCTCACTTTTAGCATTTTCACTGAAAACATTCTCATTACAAGATACAGAATTGACCCCAAGGTTTGACACGAGGAGGAAATCAGTGAGGGCATTGTGGTGTACAGATTTGCGGCATTACTGGGTATTACTAGGCATTACCAGGCATTTTTTGGGCATTATAGTTTGGGCATTAGGTCTTGCTGGGGTATTATTAAGATAAAATAAGATAAGAAGATGAAGTAATGCCCACTGGGCATTGGTGGGCACTGGTGTACAAAATTTTAGTCAGCGGTTTCCCCCTCGGTTTGACATTTTAATCTTCCGTCTTCGCATAACGTCGTTTTGAATTATCATTCGATCGGTAGGTAGCTGCAAGCAGGTGCTTGTTTGCTCGTGTAGAAATAATTGATAAGCGCCACTGTGCAATTTACACCTCAATGGTAGCAATCGGCGGTACCGTGACAGCGTTATTATTACCGGCATTTACTACACTTATGTCAATACATCTGTGACGTAAGTCTATTTAAATGACAATGGAAAAAGTATCACCGTGCCCCGCGCAGTGGCCGCCTATTATTATCACAAATGTTGCCAATTAACTAGTGTCCGGCTGCTGTTTGTTAATACAAACAATGGCAACGAGCCGAAAATAGCTTGGCGTATTATCGGTGTGAATTTAATGAAAACATTCTCATTATCAAGCCGGTTTTTCTGAATTTGTAACGCTTATTAAACCGTGTCACACTGCATGTCGGTATTTGCCGTCGCTCCAGCGTCCCCTCAACTGCTAAATTTTATGATAAAAGAGCTGCAGTACCGGCCAAAATTACATCACCTTTAGGTTTTCCGCACGGAGAGAAGTTTCTTTTAAAATTTATCCCGCAAATCGTGGGACAACGCGGCATTTCGAAGAATTTTACGAGAGTTTTTTGAAATGTTACCATACATTTCACTAATAATTTTGTTAGTGTTTATTTTACTAGTAAAATGTATGGTGAAATTTCAGAAAACTCTCATAGAGTTCTTCATAATGTCATGTTGTACCATGATCGTATAATTTTCGGGATAAGGTTTAAGAGAAAATTCTTTCCGTGTGAGCAGAACTTTCGTCAAAGCGCATCGAACGTGCTCAAAATTTCACAGTAGACACCTGATAATAGGCGCATCTTGTACACGAAGTGTAATGAAATTCGACAAAATTCACCATAATCTTCGAAGTTTTCATTCGTGCACTTTAAAACTAGTTATGCCAAAAAGAAAATCGAAAGGTGATACAATCTTGGCCGACACTGCAAGACAGAAGCGCACGTGGTTTGAAACTTTTTAATACGATGATAATATTCCACATACACACGTTCGTCTCAGAATAACGTATTTTTAATTTGATGCGCGTAAAGCTCTTTAAAAATATTCACACGTGCAGTTTATAAATTGAATAATTTTAAGGGACACACCCAGCAAAAACACGATCAATTGTGCGGAAAAGTATTAAACGTCGAAAATCAATAGGGTCGCGGTTCTCTCATTAAGGTGACGAAATGGATTATCCCCTACGAGGCGCGCGTAACAAGCGACTAAACAATTTTCGGGCGGCGGTATTCGAACAATTCGAAGCCACGCTTTTACCGGGCCGCCGCCGGCTTCTGTTTTACGATGCAATACACGTTACGCACCGAATCGCGCGCTTGTGTCCGCGCGAGTGTCCACGGCGATCCCGTAAATTTGACCAAGTAATCAGCGAGCCTCAATTATCTCGCCTCGCTTTCCGGCGCGGTACAATAAAACTTGCCTGGATGCGCGAATTTTTTCGAGCGGCACGCGGAAATACATATTTTGAAACACACTTTATTGCATCTCGATTTGCAATTTTACAGGGAAATGTACACAACCATTCTTTTCCTGATTTTTATGAGTTTTGAGTGTGTGGTACATACCGAAATAGGAGACATGTGTTTTTTTTTTAAATAAAATGTTCCGACGAAAAAATCTGCTGTCTTTGTATTTTCAAACGTATGTCGTTCAAGTGGTAGAAAATACGAAAGACATGTTTAAAGACCGGTTGTTCCAATTTCTTGGTAAGTTAACCGACAGTTAATTTATATATGTCTTTGTTTTTCCTTCAAATTAGACAAAGATGGGGATATAATTTAACTATTAGTTAGCTCACCAAGAGATTGGGAAAACCGGCCCTTGGACAAAAGATTTCTACCTTAATATAATCCTAGACGGAGAGAATTTTTTCTTAAAATTTACCTTGAAAACCATGTCATCAATCATGGAACAATATGGCATTTTGAAGACTTTATGAGAGTTTATTGAAATTTTACCATACGTTTCACTAGTAATTACTTAGTATATACAATATTTTACTAGTAGAATATAAAATTTCAAAAAACTCACACAATTCTTCGGAATGCCACGTTGTCCCACAATCATATGATTTTCAGGATAAATTTTAAGAGAAAATCCTCTCCGTGTAGTTTGCTCTGTAAATGTGTCGGCGGGGAGGGGGAGGAATAGAAGATTTGTAATTTATTACGTAATCCAGCAGTTTTTGCCCAGAAAAAATTTGTACTGCGCAATGCATAGAAACGTCATATGTTATTGACACAATGCATACTAAAGTTGATTTAATGAAGCAGCAATTCGATTTAATGAAAAAATTGCGTCATTATGGGTATTGTTTAATCTACTGTACGCATCGTTTTCGAGATTGTAATCCGCCGTTTTTTCCCCACGGCTCTACTTCGCCGTTGTCTCTCGCAATTAAGGCGTCGCTAAAATTGTAAAAAATGGCACGGCGCTCGCGAGCGAAACAAGCGGAAATCGGGGGCGGTGCCGAGGGTCGTATCGGGAGGTACCGGAGCATCCAATTTTCGAAAAACAATCGCCGGCGTAATGAAAGTCCAGTTGGCTGGGACGGCACGGAACGGAGGAATCGGGATCGAGTTTGTAAGAGAGAATGGAGAAATAACGACCGCAGAGCACGCGGGGACATCGGAAATAAAATAGGAATTCTGTAAAAATAGTCGCGCTGTCGCGTCGCTAATTCGCCCCCTCTTTGTCTCGCCACTTATCGACTACTATTCTACGTCCCCGCGAGGTGCTTTGTCGATTGCACGGCGTTCTACGTGCGCCACACGCGGTGAGACAAAAGAAGTGCTTATCGATGAGAGTCTTTTTCCGCGCGCTCGATATGCATGCAGCATGAGTCAATTTGCAAATGTATTTTTCCTTTTACTAATTTGTTTAATCCTTTCGTCCTCTCTCTTTAATTACACCTTCCGCTAATCCGTTTCATTCAGTGATCAAGCGGTTGCGTTTCAGATTGTACGTTCGCGAAGCCTCAGATCTTCCTGCAAACTGAACAGAAATTAAATTTTTTTTCAAGGAACAGTTGATTCTAATAAATCCAGTAAACAGATTGGCATATGTTGTTTATGTTCGTTGAAAAAATATAAGCTAAAATACACGCGAAATTTCGCAAAATCCCGATGTTCTCTATAATTGTAAAGCAAAAAGCAAATCGTTATCTCCGCGCAAACAAGAAAAAATAAGTTTCAGATCAATTCTTATATACTCAAATTAACGCGTTCGTTGTTTTGTATGTACGCAAGAATATTACATTTTATTTAAATACTATAATTGTCACCTCGAGAATACATGTAATTATTTTATCAACAAAATCATTTTACTCATTATAATCTTCGATTTGAAAATATGTTATTTTTTCATCCAATATCGTTTCCTTTCCAGAAAATTTTTCTTAATTCATAAGCACATATTGTTCTCTCGATTGAATATAAAATTGTTTCATTCAAGTAAGTTTATCTTCCTTTAACGCAAGATTGTCACGTTGAAACCAAACATATTTTCAAAAGAAGAACATTCTTCTTTTCTGCGCAGCGTTTCCTAATGCTCGCTGGAGGGCGAGTTTGCATTTTCTTTCGCAGAAAGAGAGCCCAGGCTGACGAGAGGCTTTTCTCTAATCTTTACCCGTATTTCGTGGATAATTCCTTCCTACCGGAAACCGGGGTTTTAGCTGATTGATGAGACTCGTCGTCGCCGATTAGGAAGGCGTACCTCTCGATTCCAAGTGAAAAGCACAGGTTCGCGCATCTTTCCGACAGAATCGGGTAGGTTCGATCTTCGTTCCATTTGTCCCGCGCCCATTCTCGTCGATTTTTCAGTCTGCCTCACGCCCTTCCGAATGGGCCATCGTAATCTAATTAGCTGGATTAGAAGAGACTCTCTCCCGTTAATGTTCAGTCGTTCTCTCTCCCAGTCCCCCCCCCCTCTCTCTCTCTCTTTCTCTCCTGAGGTGAGACAAATTCGAAAAAGGAAGTTACAACTTCCTCGAAGTTTTCAAGGCTGCTCCTTCATCTCTTTGCGCGTGCGACGAATCTCCTCGATTTCGCATCTTGCCCTTTATAGCCCCGTTCCACCGCGCTATTTACAAATATTTGTTCTCTGTATGAATCAGCAATTTGTAGAATTTAGTTTGGCGTGACGTGGACTACATGACCTGTCGTGCACTTTGAAGCGCTCCAGAACTGGATGTAGACCTTATTTGGGACCGATTTTCCTTTAACTATATTTGACTTCCACAAAGTCGGCGTGTTTCCTCGCTTGTATCTTGAAAATTTTATTTCGGAGAAGTCTTTTAATCCACCGTTTTCTCTCTTTCATATATAGACCAAAATTCACAGTTCCAGAATTAAAGTTCTAGCTATAATTTCTTATACTCTTCAGAAAAAAAAAGTTATATCTTATTCTTAGCAAAGAAAAGACAGATAAGAGAATCAGAAGAAGAATTCAATTTATTGATTCACTTGTAGAATATTATTACAAGTGAAAAAAATGTATTATCTTATATTATCTTACATTATCTCACATTATCTTATATATTATTTGCGATTTACTACCAGGAAATAAAATTCTTTGTTTATCTTCCATTCCTACTTCCGATCCTTATCGCATCCGGAATCGATTACTTTCGGTGGAGATAACATCTACTTTCGATCCACGGCATAACGAACGGAAAGCGCGGAAGTAAATTAATCGACCGTCCCGTATCTCTCATTTTATCGATATAATTTCGACGTAATTGCGTCGTTTTCGCCATCGGTGGCAAGCGATGTCTCTGTACGATACGCACTTTGACAAATTTACTTTTCCGGTGGCAGCTTATCCCCCTCGCGATCGCGATATCGAAGCTGCTCTCACCGATAGCGAGCCACGCGGCTTGACCTCTTGCACCGCCGTTCGAGAGATACCTGGCCGGAATAATCGATCGGGTACAGGGTCACGTGCCAGCGATAGGGCGATCCGGTTCGTAGTCTTTTCCGCAGGGGAGATATGCTATATCCTCCGGAAAGCGCGATATGCTTTCCCGAATAACTTCGATACGGGACGACGATACCTCGGGTATACCGGGGGACAAGGCGATTCGACCCTCGACAATTCGCACGCCTGTTCAGAACGATGTAATTTATTACGATCGAACGATCCAAGTTTGCTTCCAATCGTGTCAAGTGGTTGTAAACTCGAGGAGAATATTGTAATAGTCTGTAGATAGATCTAGAGGACTTAGCGCCTAAGATAATACTGTTGAAATCTACACCTTCTCTCTCTCTTCTGGGGATGTAAACAGAAAAAGAGTCCAAGTTTCTTTGTGCGTATTATACAAAATATTTATTATTTGACAGATTTATATATACGTATTTTCAAGCTTGACAATTGCCGCGTTTGTCGATTAGCATTCTCGGTTCGATAGGATTTCTCACCCGATAATAATACAGTAACCGTCAGGCTAATCCTTTAAGGGCCGGTTTCACAAACGTCGGTTAACTGTTAACTAGAGTTCAGTCGACTGCCTATCTTTTTCCATCTTGTTATTTAAGAAGAGACGGAGGATCAATTAACCTTCGGTTAGCAGTTAACCGACGTTTGTGAAACTCGCCCTAATAGGCACAAAGGCGAATGCGTCCCGATAAAAGAATGGAATCGTTCAGAATCGCCGTGCGAGGACGGCGCGCGCCGATTCGATCGCGCTATTTAGCAGGCGAATTAACAGACGGCACGCTCTATCTATCTATCTCATCTGTCGCGACCGAGCCATGATTGATGTGCACAATTTCCGTTTTCAGTTGAACGACGGCGGCGTTTCAACATCAACGACAGGATCAAGGAGCTCGGCACTCTCCTGCCCAAGACCAATGACCCGTGAGTACGAATCTCTTTTCTTTCGCAGCTTCTCCTTCCTCTTCGCCTCCTCCTTGTCTCACGTCACACGCTCGCCCCTCTCTCGTCCCCTTCTCGCCACCTCCGTTTTTCGCAGTCTTCTTATTCTTTGCCTTTGCCTTTTGCACATTCCCCACGGACCATTATTTCCTGTTCGTGACCCTTTACGACGAGTTAGTCCAGGTCAGGTGCTCGAGACGAGAGGCTTTCACCGGAAGTCCATTCTTCGCCTCTTGCACTCTTCTCTCCTTCGCGTTTCTTCCTCCCTCGCTGGCCCTCCACGGCTGCTCGCTCTTCCTTCCTTCACTTCAGCTTTGTTTCCTGTCCTCCCTACCGTGCAAAGCGCCACGCTTTCTCGTTTAGGATGTCCTTCAAACCCGGCGAATGAGGGCAAATGCGGGGGGAAGAGCGATGCTGCGAGCCGGAAATACAAGGGGACGAGATTAAAAGAGATCAGTTTGTTTATTCCTCGCGTTACCGCGTGTCCCGACAACGCCAGACGTACGCACTCTCGTGTCCAACATCTGGTGCTTAATCAAATTAATTTTTTTATGGATTCCATTCTTTCGCAAAACTCGAAAAAATTTTCGTTGAACGTTTAAATTAAAGAAGTAATGAATAATTGGTATACTCTTTTGAAGCGAGAAAATGAACTTTATTATACAATTATTTCTGAATATTTTGCTCAAACCACAAATGTCCACTAGCGTTGAAATAAATGTATGGTATTTTAATGTTTAATGGTGTGTCACGTAATCGTGACGCTCCATTTTTTTTATACAATGGTATAGTTTTATCGCGACAGGAGACAAGTTTTAACATACAGTTATTCATTGTGTTTAATTATCTGCCATCGAGTTCTAGCATCGTAAAGAGCCTTATTGTTTGACGTTTATGTTAAGAGACATTTATTCAGCTGTAAAATATTCAGCTTGCCAAATCCCATCGACACGTCGCTCTTTGCAGATAATAATACCAGCCACGACGTACGATCGACAAATAGAATTTACTGAAGCTGCTCTAAAATGTATGTACATTCCATTGATAATTAACTCGCAAATTCCGCATAAAAATTTCAATGACTTTTACGCGGAAGATGCGTCATAAATTATTTCGAGTGCGTATTTCGAGTGGAAATGTTTCTCGCTCACGCGCCTGTAATGCGGGAGACGTTTATTACCTCTGCCGTTATTTTTCCGGGTTTCCACAGCGACGATCGGTTCATGTCTGACCTGTTTCGGACACGATCCCTGACACGAATCTTCCCCGAGACTTCTTCGACGCACGACGGACGTACTAACGAGCGACCCTTTTGCATAGAATAGCCGAGCGGGGTCCGTTGTTCATTTATCAATCCGACGATCGATCCATTTGTCTGTGTCAACGGCGGACAAACTTAAAAACTCCGCCTTTCGGGTTCGGTGGCCTCTTCTCTCGCGCGCGTTTCTTCGAATATCGATCCTCGAAAAACCGTGGAGAGATCCGTGCGAATTAGGTTCGTGGTTAACTGCGAGTAACGTTCGACCCCGTTGAAGAAACCTTTACGCAACGATACACCGAAAAAGAATCTGATAGATTCAACCAGTCGTCTGTTAGAAAATGGACGAATCAGAATTCCTTTAGGATTTACCATGAAAGATATTTCATAACTAGAAGTTTGCTAGACCTCACTACACATCTGGTAAATCCTAAAGAAATTCTGATTCGTCCATTTTCTAACAGACGACTGGTTGAATCTATCAGATTTTTTTTCAGTGTACAAATATTGTCTTTGATTCGCGGCTAAAAGTATATAAAAATCGTATGATTGTTTAAAATTAAATTTAATCGTGTCGATAATTTCAAACTAAAGTTATAATTTCGATTAACTAAAACTTAAAACGGAATGAAAATCGACGGAGACGCTGGAAACAGCGCAACTGGCTCTTACCGGGAGAAAATGCTTCGCTTGAAGCGTGAATTCTTGATTTTCGTCGACAATTTTCACTGCCGCGCCAAGGGAGACGCAAAGTTTGTTGTTATTCGTAACTATTGATTTACCGCATCGTAATTTACGTTATCTACATCCGATGAAGGAGAAGCGTGCAGGCCGGGGCGCGTTCTTTATCTGCCGTCATATTCCCGTCATATTTTTCGACACGTCACTGATAAACGCGATAACGAGTGCACGCTTCGGGATTAATGTGTTCCACGTCTCGAATTTCTCCCCCGATATTTGGGGCTGACGAGATGAAAGTTGAATTAACGCGGCTTTACCTCGATCGTGTTTGTCAGCGATAATTTATACTCGTTTCAATGCCTCTCTGTAATTGCATTTAGCGCGCATTTTAAATTTTCCGATTGACATTCCGGCCTCGCGCGCACACTCGGGTCGCATTGTCCGCGCATCTGTGCATCGCGTGCGACATTAGTACGCACATACGTCCTGAATTCGCGAGCGTCTCTTATCTAATGACGCTCATTACACCGATAAGACAATGGCGTGCAGTTGCTGCAAACGCGTGATAACGCTTGCGGCCTGTCGCGAGTGATATAGGAATCCATCAACCGTGTAGTAAATATTGCACAACTTTCTTCACGGAGGCGGGTTTGTTCGGAAAACTTTGATATGAATCGTAATATACAAGAGAAATATATCAAGATTATAGGTAATTCAACGAAGCATTTATAATCCTTTTATTGCAAAACGGAATAAGTAAAATGTTATAAATCCGAGAGATAAAACGCTAACCAAACTCATGTACACTAATGCCTGTTAATGCCCAGTGGACATCACTTTATCCGAGGGGTAAACCGCCGAGGGCATTGTGGTGTACAGATCTGCGGCATTGCTGGGCATTACGAGGCATTTTTTGGCATTAGTTTGGGCATTAGGCCTTGCTGGGGCATTAAAAAGATAAAGTAAAATAAAATAAGATAATAAGATAAAGGAATGCCCACTGGGCATTAATGGACATTGGTGTACAAGATTTTGGTCAGCGGTTTTCCCCTCGACTTTATCTTATTATATCTTATTTTATCTTGTTTTTCTTTTTAAATTCTTCATAATGCCGCAGAAAGGCCAAATAGCCATCCACTAATGTCCAAAAAATGCCTAGCAATGCACTCTGCGATTTACCCTTCGTATAATTATACTTTTTTTTTAGTGATTCTTTGAAATATGAAATTTCGCACTTCAGATATGGTACACGCGACAAAGATAGCTGCGCCCGCAGAGGGAACCGCGCGGCAATCTCGTTTTATTTGTCTCAAAGTCGCGACCGACAAAATCTGCTCGCGCTAATCATATCCAACGAGGAAGGGCGAATAATGACGCGTCAGTAATAACGCGCGTTAGAACTTCCCGCGGGTGCCTCGGCGCGTTCTCGGTAACGTCTTTCTCCTGTGGGGTTTTAGTTTCGGCTTTGGCCGGGGACGGTATCAAGCGGAACGCGGGTAAACTCGGCGCGATAGCGCGCCCGTGATAACGAAGTAGAGCCCCGGTTCTAAAGACACCGGCAAACACGGCACAGATTTCTCTCCCCGTCCCTTCCGCCGTCTCGCGGCGTCTCCTCCGTTCGTCTCGCGTTCAAGTTTCGGAATCGTCCTCGTTTCCTACAAAACGCCCGGAATCCCCGCCATCCCTCCCGCGCGCTCCTCACGTTCTTCCTCATTAACGCGGGCGATGGAGAAACCCGTCGATGCACTTGGCTGTTTATTGTTCGCCGTGCAAACTCGTTTCCGACGTGCGTGCATGTACGAAAACCGCGCGCGACTCGCGAGCGGAGGAGGCGCCGCGATGCCACTCCGTCTGCGACGAAGCGCGGAATGTTTAACTATTCGGTCGCGTGCTCCCGTTAACAATAATGAAACGGTAATTGAATCTGCGAGCGACGTAAGCGTTGAAACGGTTCTCCAGTTAGCTTAAGTAATGACCCGTATTTTTGACACATATTCAACGTTTATTTGACGCGCTGCGTTTTCGTGTCGGCGAGAAATTAAGGCTAAACAACTGTGCCGCACGTAGCTATTTATACGCCGAGAATATGGGAAAACTAGTTGGCGTTAAAATTCGTCGATTAGAAAGATAATCGTACGACGGGTCCAATTATATTCGGCGGGGCAAGTTGGCGAAACGCGCGTTAGTTTCGTTGAAACCGCGTGCAGCGGATTGGATTATTAACTCGCATTAACTTGGAAACACGGTAACAGAACTCCCGCTGAACCCATCAAATCTGTACACCATGAACAATTCACCAACTGCGGAAAAATATGCGCTTTCCCCCCCTCTCTCTCTCTCTGTCTCTATCTGTCTCTCTCGCTTAAGTAACGTGGAAAATTAATAAAACGCCGAATTTCGGTGTAGTAGGCGTGTTTGCGGAAACGCAGTTTGCAAGCTCGGATTGAAGTACGCGAACCCGCATAGCCGCAAATTCGCTCGTCGCGAAGTTGTTGCAGGATAGGGAACACGACGACGCCTCACGTGGAAAAGTGATGCTTTATGCAATATACCGGCGGCTGTTTGGTTTCGGAGTTTGCTCGGCAGGCGCAAAATCTCGCGAGTCATGCAGCGACGCGCCCATTCGCGATCCGCGATCGCGCGTGAATTTAATTACAGTTTTGCCGAGGCAATGTAAATTATTAGCAGCATCGCGGGAGCGCTTGCGCCGTCACAAGAACGCGGACCATTTTACCGCGAAGCGTGAAATAATAGATAATTATTAATTATTTATAATTCTGCCGCTTTGTAATTTATTGTTACGTATTCTACAGCTTTATTCGATATTGTTTTACGAGTGTAAATTTCGAAGCTAAATCATATTCACGCGTTGGAAAGAATTCGTTAATTTGACGCCGGTTTATTTTCTTGTATACTTTCATCGCTTTCAGCTCTGTTAAATTAATTTAAATATCTTTTTTTGCAAGAACTAGACTTTTTGGGTAATCCGGGGTATGAGGTGACCGTAGGCTTTTAAGATGCAAGAAATATACTTTTGTTTTTCTCAGTTTTGATTAGTGTTTGGTATATTACTTCGTTGAAACTTGAAGTACGTAACGCTATCGACATTGAAGAAAAGATGTTTCATAGATTTATATTATTAAAATATTGCAACATGAGCATTGGCAATCTTTTCAGACTGTCTTTGAAATCAAACAAATTGTCTTTAAACAGGGCAAATTTTAAGAGAAAATTCTCTTCGTGTGGCTATATATTAGTGCGTGGACTGTTGTCTTCTTCCTTTTCTTGCATCATTCCGATAGAACTTTTTGATTACGCGAATAAGGATGCGATAGTCATACGATGCGTGTTCAATCCCTCCAGTCTCCCCGCAGGATACGGCGGAGGATTATGGTTTCTCTCGAGGGGATATTCACCGAGGAGTCCACGAAGGATGGATGTGTCGCCCGGACATGACGAATGCCACCTTATAATAGGCTTTCCATTCGGCGTCGCTCTCCTCCTCGTGAACGGCGGCAACTCGCGATTTTTCGAGCGATAAATCGACGAAACGATTCCGCCGTAAATCAACGGTCGCGCGTACGGCGCGGCGTGAGCGAGAAAAAAAGCATGAATAACGACGAAAATCCGTGAGTGTTGTTCCCGAGTCTCGCGAACATTTAAATCGCGAAAGAACTTACGGCAAATCTGTAGTTGCGAAAAATTTCATGCCGGCCCCGCGTCACGTTAAAAGTTTTCCTAACTCTTGGAATATTTGTCACTGCGCAGAGACTGACGAAGCAAGTGAGCTATCGAAGTCATTGTCAAAGAAGTGCGCGATTAACGACATATCGGAGTGACAAATCTGCGAGAGATAAGACAATCTAATTTTTCCGAGGCGCTGTAACTTAATAACAAACACTGATTTGTATTATCGCGCGAATTACACAGCTCGCGGATAATATCTGTTACCTTATCAGTTGTATCTTATCTCTGTTTGAACGAGTTATTGATCTTCCACGAACGGCATTGTTTTGCTTTGGAGAAAAAATGCTACTTGTGTTTATACAATCTAACACACTTTCTCCCATCGCTCTCGATACACTCGGATACGATTCGCGCACTACACGTGTTCCGTAACGATTAATTTTCGAAATTAAGGAGTTACAATACTCTAGAGTCCCCCAAAAGAAGCCACTTTTCGGTTATTTTTTTCAGGAATATAATAAACATAAATGAAAATGTGTTTAATCCTTATTATTCTCTATACATTAAAGTGTTAAAGAATTTTTATAAATTTTTTCTTAACAAAATGGCGGCGCCATTTTCTCGTTTTTTATATAAAGTCGACCAGCATAGTCTAGATTTTACTGCGTACTTAAATTTCGTAAAAGAGTTGCATTTCCATAAAGTCAATTAAAAGATTACTTCTAACAAAGAATGTCGATAAAACAGACAGCTTTAGGGTCCCCTTAATGTGCAAAAGGACACGGTGCGCTACAATTTCAAAGCCACTCTCGATGTCATCCGGCAAAGACCGCATGTTTCTGAAGATACGTGCACTTTCCCTGGCAATCCTCAATTCTTTTTTACTCTTACGTTTTCATTCGCAAGCAGCTTGCCGGGCATTTTTCTCTCTGGCGTTGTGAGATTGTCCGCGCTGGATCTTCGCGGGTGTCTCGCGCGCGCGCGCGCGACACCCCCGAGATGCTATCTCTCGCTTCTCGTGTCTGCATACGCGGAATGCTCCTCATGAATTTTTCGAGAGCGTCGCTGTGAAAAATTCTGCTGGCTAACGACAAATCGCCGTATCCGCGGAGGCGCAAGAGACACGACGTGCGCCGTGAGGAAAGAGGGGAAAAAAAGGTCCAGAGAGTGCGGGAGCGCGGCGCGTGTTATGGAGATTCTTCGGGATTTCCTTACTCGCGTCCCGTCGAGATATCGGCCCTTCTCCCCGTCCGTCTGATACTCCGCGCGAACTCCCGCGCGGAATTCCATCTCCTGGCGGCCCTCGGAGCGGCGGGGTGACTCCGAGAGACGGTAATATCAGTCGTATTACGGTCGGTTGAGGAACTTTGGGAATCCCCCGAAACACCCTATCTGGTACACGTTTCTGACGAAATAATCTGGGGTTTCGAGCGGCCCTTTCCCGGCGCTCTCCCTTTCGCTGGGATCGTCACCAGCTTTTTGCGTCGAGAGGAGGCGAGGAAATTGAAAACGTGAGCGCAGCGCTCACGAATCTCTCTCTTACCGCTGTTCTCTATGCAACTAATGCCGAGGAATCGCAATCACCTCGTCCAATCCTCGGTGCCGCTTGGGCCAAGTGTTTTGAGCAAAAATTATTTATTTACTCACACAGATTGGCGTTAATTAAAAATAGACGGCAGTTTTGCGTTAAATCTACAGCGGCTGAAGCGCGAAATAACATTGCCTGGTCCTGTCTCTTGCAGGTATTACGAGATCGTGAGGGACGTCAGGCCGAACAAGGGCACGATTCTCAAGTCTTCGGTGGAGTACATAAAATTGTTGAAGAATGAGCTCACGAGGATGAAGCAGAGCGAGCTCAGGCACAAACAGTTGGAGCATCAGAATCGCAGGTTGCTGCTGCGCGTGCAGGAGCTCGAGCTGCAGGCGAAGGCGCACGGTCTTCCGGTGGCCGACTTCAACTGGGCGTCCACTTCCGCCATGCTCAACACCTTCTCGAGGAGTAAACTCGAGCATCGAAAGGTACAAAATCCCTTCTCATCCGGTTCGCATCTCGTTGCATCCGCTACCACGAATATACATCGTCGCATCATTCTAGCCGCCATGCAAGTTTTATCTAACTTCCGTATCCGTAATAATTCACGCTCGTACTTGATCTTGATCGCCCGCTCCCCGATCTTTTAACAATGAATCATCGCCAGTGTTACGTTACAACACGTATTCAGCATTTTATATTTCATAATTTTTTCTTCCACAGGTATCACATATCCTCTTTTACATAATCACTTTTAACCACATTTCTTTGCAAGTGTTACGTTTTTCTTCTCTTTATTACATATTATATAACGATTTCTGATATGCAATTAACAAGCAGGCTATTACTTATTTGGCGAGGAAAGGTTTACTCTCGAAACGTGATAATGTACGAATCCTGTGATTAATTTCGGTCAGTTTTATTAAGTGTAGTTTCGTAACGGCGAGTCATTTAATCTTAATGCGACAGTCGCGCGGTTGGTTTTCGCTGTTAGCGATCGACGTAACGATCGATCCGATCCTTGATCCGAATAAACCTTCCGCTCGTTCACCAGACTAGTTTCATAATGCGTGCATCTGTTCTGAGCGAGCAGCGGGAGACGGAGACGAGTGGAGCTGTTCGCTTTCCTTCGCGCGCACCCGTTTATCGATATTCTCGTGCACGAGAGCGGTAGGTCGTTTGACAGTGGCGGTTTTATTACGCAATCGGAGATCGATCCGAAGCCGTTCGTGTTCGCATAATGAGAAATATTTTCTTATTTACGTACAATTGACGTATCGTTTTCTCTCCGCGCCTCGAGCGACTTTCATTCGGTGACGACCACTCGAGCGCCGTTCGATCTCTCGATGACGAGGCGACCGCGGGACATTGTGCGAGTCTTGTAGACACCTTTCGAAATTCTCGTTCGCGCTCGAACGCGATAATTTACTGCCTCTCGCGCGAGCGTCGTGCAAATTTTTAACTTTAGCACGCGTGAATTTATAGTTTTATGATAATTGCAATAATCCCCGCGAAGAGACGGACTTTTTCTTTAATAATTACATTTTATTTAATTATTTTATTTCAGTCATTATGCATAATTATCGCGAATATTATAACTTCCGTTCAAAAAGCTGGACACTGTTTGTCGCCTCGTTATTTGTTATTCAAAATGTTAATTTTATATATATATATATATATATATATAACATACAGCAACGGACTTCCCCATTTGGCAATTCTGTATCGGCGGCGGATTATTGTTCCGAATAATGAATTGCGGCTTATCGCGATCTGGTTGTCGCGCAAATCGTTCTCGTTCGTTTTGCCCCTCAATTTCGCTCCCAAACTTCGACCGGAGGTACGGGGTCCCCGAGAGATAGTCGTCATCGCTCTTTAGTCTTTAGAACGCCCGATGACGGAGATATTCTCGCGAGATGCGCGCGGCAAAAGTTACCGTTGAATTAGTAGGCCAGATAAGGTCGCGCACGTACGTACATACGAGGTTCGACGTGCGCGGATTCGTGATGTGATTAAGAACTCGTCAAGTCCCGATAAAGACGCCGACGCGGTGCCGCGCTTCGACGACAACAGATTCGGGCCTCTTGAGGGGATGCCGGAGTGGTTCTGCACCTTTTACACTTTTTGCACCGAGAACTGTCAATTCATGAAAACATTTGTGTAATATACAAATCGGACTGAATCAGGGAACAGCATGGTATCATTGAAATTAAGTTTGTAGGCCTAACAAAAATCTATTCACTCGACTAACAATAAGTTATAGATTATTCTACCTGGAATGTGCACATAAACATATTAAGTACTTACGAAGCATTTTAGGACATACATTCATAGGACATTTTCTTCATAGAATAAGCCATGGTATGTCCCCTTACATTTTCGACTATTACTTAGGAAACACCCTGTATAACAAAAAACCGAATTTGCTCCTCTTAATTTCTGCTTTGATTTTAACAATCACATTTACGAGTTTGAATTTTACATTTTAATATCGCACCTCGAGTTCCTTCGGCGAACGCAACACTTGTGCTCGTCTTATACAATATATGCCGGCGCGTGGTGGGGACGATTGTCGTGTGCATGGACGTTGTAATTTACGTCCACTCGTCGCGCTTTCGGAAATATTCGGAGTCGCGCTGCGACGCGGGAGATAACGAGAGAGACGCGAGATGACGTACCGCGAGAGGGATCAGTTGAATTATTGTTCGAGATAAAGTTCCGTCGGAGCGTAAGTAGTCTGACAAGCAGCTTCCTCGCGGTTAGAGAAATTTAAACATTGATAACGTCCCGCTCCGCGATTCGCGCGACGAGTGCCGACCGAGGCGAGGGAAGTGTCTCGCGTATTGCACGGGGAATTTTACTGCGACACTTAACCGCCGGTTTGCTTAACGTTAATTTCGTCCCTCGATTTATCTTGCACGAAATGTAAACGATGTCGTACAAATGCGCCCCAGATAACGACGAATTATTTTCAGAAAAAAATAGGGATGAAATATATATATATTATATTTAAATAAGATATAGTTTTTACAACGCGAAAGATTGTCTCCAAGTTGGCGCTGATACACGCTAATCCGTCGGGCAATAAATTTACGTGAATTATCCACGCGCTTGATTTATTAAGTCTGTTTGTATCGCCTCTAATTATACTCGAGCTTCTTGCTCAATTTGTTACTTTCCGTTTCGACGAAACGATACAGTTTGCAAGGAGCGGCTCTTATTTCACGATGTCTGCTAGAAAAGGCGCACCATGCGCGAGGGACTTGCGCAACGTTCGCTCCGAGATTGCATAATTGCAAACGTAATTGCACACGTTAAATCCGCACGCGCCTGAATGTCGTGCAAAATATTTACCTTTACCACCGTGCATCGTGCGTACGTCCGCAGAGCGCAGTTCTTATCGCCCGTCTGGCCCCTTATCGTACGTGCTACCTCACGCGAGACTTATACCTTTTATCTTGCATCTCGGCGCGTATATTTTCGCGAGAAGAACACGCCGCACCGCTCCGACGGCGACGTCGGGACAAAGGATAATCGCCGAATGAGCTGTAACGTCAGAAACCGCGTTGCGCAACGGCACGCTGCGGCATTTTTTCATGCAAATTTAACGCCCTCCACGTCGGCCGAGTACGCGGCGGTTATGTAAAAAGGTGCATGCGATAGCTTCGCGAAGTACCGCGTCAAATGTGAAATCGTGACCGCCAAACCAGAGCAATCTTTATTAAAATTAATAGAAACGTCTACGGTTTTTCTCCTTCTGCAAAATCGAGTGTCTTTGTTGTATGACGAATTACCAATGTGTACACGGAGAGAATTTTCCCTTAGAATTTAACCCCGCAAATCTTGTGATCGTGGGACAACAGGCACTGAAAAAAATTATGTTGCAACTGCAGCAACAATTTTCTAGGTACTGAGACATATAAATGAATAGCCAATACTGCAAAATCACATATGTTTTGTATTTAATCGATTTGAATAACAGAAACTGAATTTCTATCTGAACTGTTGGCGAATGTTAGGAAGAAAGCCTTTGTGTGCCGCCCATCCATTATAACGTTTGATTGTGGTAAATAAAGAGTTATATTCCTTGCAAAGATTGTTCTATGGTACTGAAATTCAGTTTTATCCAACGTGAATGATTAATATTTAGTCATGAAACCTAAACTTTCCAGAAGGTATTACTAGAATGTTGTTGTTATAAATTTTGCAGGCTACAAACAATTTTCTAACAGAGATAAAAGAGAGCGATAAATTTTTGTCGCGACACTTGGAAATTTACCTGCGTCAGCAGGGTATTTTTTGAGTGTGGCGTTTTGAAGAACTGTATGAGAGTTTTTTGAAATTTTACCATACATTTTAATAATAAAATTAATGTACAATAATTACTAGTGAAATGTATGGTAAAATTTCAACAAACTCATAAAGGTCTTCAAAATGTCATGTTGTTCCACGATTACATGGTTTTCAGGATAAATTTTAAGGAAAAGTTCTCTCCGTTTAGGACAACATAGCATTTCGAAGAATTGTGTGAATTTTTTAAATTTAACATTCTACTAGTAAAATGTATACTAAGCAATTACTAATGAAGTGTATAGTAAAATTTAAAAACCTCTCAAAAAGTTCTTCAAAATGCCACATGATTTTCAAGTTAAATTTTAAGAGAAAATTCTCTCCGTGTAGAAATCTTTAGAAAACCTCGTGCTCGCGCGACTTGTCCTGCAATTTCTTTTATTTGCGATGCATACGAACGTATCTAGTCGTACGTAATTGATATAAATTCGACGTAGCGAAGACCGACAAGTAATCCGACGAATTAGTTGCATCGGTAATATAACGGCAAGCAAATTGGATCACAGTCGTTTGCGCCTGAAATGCGATTGGAAATTAATTCCGGTTCTGGTAAGCCGACCCGTCTGTGACTTCACAAAGTTGCCAGAGTTAACTGCGCCTGGCAGAGAAACAGCTTCAATCAGCTTACTCCGATAATGTGTACAGGGATAACGTAGAGATGTTTAAACCTCGATAACGCTGAATATATAATTTTTCAAATTATTGAAAGACGAAAGAAAATGGCCCACTTGGCTTTTTCCAGTTCTTCTGCCTGTACATTGATTTTTTGGTTTGCCAGACATCTTGCAATATTTTTAAGACTGATCGTTTAATCAAAGGATCCCGGAACTTTGTTCGTTCTTCGAAGACCATTCTTTCACCTAACAGCTTTCGACTAACACCCTCTGTTTTCTCTCTCTGCTGTTCCTACTTTGCTACGAATCTCATCATGCGAGCAATGTAAATAGCAATAAACATTCGATATCCCTCGCACTACATCATCAACCACCGGATGGACACGATCGAGTATAAACGCATATTCATTCCTGTTTTGAATCGTAACGACTTGACGTCCAGTCCTACTTTGACGGAAAATCGCCCGTCCAAACATTCCTATTTTTACAAAGGATCTCCAAGCGTGTCCGTTCCCACCTCCATAAACTCTCATAATTTTGTGTTTCGAAGATTTGTGCGAGTTTTTTGAAATTTAACATTCTACTAGTAAAATGTATACTAAGTAATTACTAGTGAAATGCAGCGGATCTCGTATCCGGAAATACTCGCCGAAACTCTCACCTCTCCCGTCACGCCTCGCATCCCGTCCAGGTCCGAGTTGATACTCGAGGACGGCTCGTTTTACAGGACGTCGGGTGTTTTTCTGCCGTAGATACCGGATCTGGCGGTGACGGAGGAGGCGACGAGTCTGAGCATGTCGCATCTCGAGGACCTCATGGAGGACGACACCGGCGGTCCCGTGCACGGCGGCGACCCGATGCTGTCGTCGCCGCACCTGCCACCGTTGAGCCCACCTGCGACTGGCTGTCACCACGGCTTAACCGACGAGGACACCCTCGGCAGCCTTGCGGTGACCACGTCGAACTCCTCGTCCGACATGGACATCGTCGCGTAGTAGAAAACCACCGTCGTCCATTAGGTTCGCGCGTGATCGGAGTTGACTCCCGAAACTTGGTCGCGTTAGATATTTTCCGGTGGCCGCTCGACCGGGGTGATCGATTTAGATTTGCGCGGGGCAGCGGGGAAGAAGGAGAGAAATGGTACGGGACGTTGCCGTGATGTGCCAAGTGCGACTTAAAGCCAGCAGGCTGCTGCGACATCGTAGATTCTCATCGTGGGAGGACGGCAGGGGAATTCGCTCGGCGCCAATTGGATTTTATTGAAGTCACTCTGATGCGGATTTATCTAAAACTAGTCATCGACTTGCGGTCGGGGAAGGAGGATCGGCAGGCGAAATGAAGAAGGATACGCGCGGGCCGTATGTTGCTTGCCGCGGAGAGGATTAAAGGAGATCGCTCTGGCAACCGCGATCGATCCGTTAAGCAAACGATAACGCTCCAAGGGCAGTCGCTATATCAGATACAGTGGATTTTTGCGAGAGAAATATCGGTGATCCTTAACAATTCCGACGACTTGGTCCAATATAAATAAAGATTATTCTATAGGCGAACAAGAAGACTGGAAACCACGGTTTAAATGTTCCCATGGGGATATCACAATGGCCGGCAGACCTTCGAATCACGAATATATACTCATCGGACCTTACAGACCTGCCAATTATCACCCCAGTGGTCCCCATAATCATCAAAATATACTTAGCGATTATTGTTGCGACATATTACTTGGTCACCTAACGTGTCATTAACGACCGGTTTGGATATATCTCTTCATTAACCATGGGCAACGAGGGCGCTCTCGGGGAGCATTTCAAGCTGGGAAACCGCCGTGAAGGCCGTAGAGAAAATTGCCGTGACAAGAACGTGTCAAGTTCGCGTTTCGCGTCCTTCGGAGATCGAGCACGAGGATCGGACGGACGTTTCTCGGGTCGGCGATGAGAGCTCGAGAGGCGATCGGGCGTTTTCGGTCGGGCCGGCCGGCTTCGGGGTCTCTCCAAGTGGCGGTGAAAGTCGTCGAGTTACCGGACGACGACGGAGGAGGAGTTCAGGGTCGTTCCAATTGCGAGGAACGGAGGGCTCGCTGTCACGATTCTACGAACGGCTGGCCGTTACACGGATGGAATGCGTGACGTCTTCTTGTATTGGCGTGCGTTGTATATTATGTCAGTGCCACAAAGGACGCGACTCCTGTCGCGCGCTAGAGACGAGCCTGGACGTTCGCGCGGGATGCACGTTGCATCGCCGGACGACGGGACGAGAAGGACGAGAAGGTCCTCTCGTTCAAGTGCTAGCTATATAGTTGAATATGATATTACTTAATCGTCAAGAAAATTATTTTCGTTGCGAGCGTGGGAAGACGGCCCGATGCAGAAGGATATTTTTAATAAAAGATTTTCCGCGATTTTCTCCCGATATTCTTCGACAGGTGGAATCGGCGAAATATATTATCACGCGGTATAACGTTGCTTCGGTTTATGAAGTTATGAAATATACATCGAATATGCTAAGGAGACAGCTTGAGAACGAATTTCGGGGGGGGGGGGGGGCAGGTTCCATTGCGCGCAAAAAATATTCCAACTGCGAAACGAGAAAGCGGAATATTGACTGCGGCGTATTTGTTTTTCTTCTTTTTGAGCGTTCGATTTAATCTCCGATTCATTAAACGTAGCAATAATCCAAAGTGCCTTCGTGAAAAAAAGAGAAGAGTGGAGAAAGATATTTTCGGAAATATACCCTTCGATTTCAGTATTAGAGCGCGCGTGCGCGTGCGCACGCATATCTATATAATATCAAGATTTTTTTATTCACACACACCCACACATTGCGATACGCAACATAGGATTTATATTATACAACTAGAATTATCTTTACAGTAAACTTGAAAATGTCATAAAAGCTCGTACCTGTAAAATTGTCGTCGAAAGTTATGAAGTTTCCATTTACAGCGTCACATCTTCTCTTGCCATTGTTATTTCATAGATAACGTTTTCCAATAGTCAAAGATACTACGATTACAGATTCAAACAGCATTGAAATCATGCTGGAGTGATAAACTATCGAAACAGTTGGTGATAAAATCTCTTCGTGTCGTTCTAAGATAAACGGGCATCCATACATCGTGACAGCATTGATAGCCGCGTATTAAAGAGCGAGAGAAAGAGAGACAGAGGAGGCACACGCGACCTGCCGTTAAGGGGATCCTAAAGCCGTCTGTTTTATCGACATTCTTTGTTAGAAGTAATCTTTTAATTGGCTTTATAGAAAGGCAAAACTCTTTTACGGAATTAAAGTACGCAGCAAAATCTAGACTATGCTGGTCGACTTTATATCAAAAATGAAAAAAAATTAAAAATGTTACTGATTTTTGGTACACTTGACGACAATGTTTACTACGTACTTTAATTCTGTGAAAGAGTTTTGCATTTCTATAAAGCCAATTAAAAGATTACTTCTAACAAAGAATGTCGATAAAACAGACGGCTTTAGGATCCCCTTAATCGGTCGTCGTTCAAAGGAGAACGTCGACGTCGATGCCAGCGGAAACTCGCGACGGATGAGCGAGTACTATGTCCAAGTTCGTTATAAAGTTTGTTGTAATTATTGTCCCCGGTAGTGTGCACATCGAGCCGTGTCTTCGCGTGCTGCTTGCAGCGGGCTGCGGCTCGGTGCGCGCGGCGGCTTTTGTGCGACGGGCCTTGATTTCACCTCGTCTCGCTTTGCGCTCGTCGGCTGTAACCCACATCGCGCCCGATCCACGTCGCCTCGAGCCAAGATCGACGATCGCTCGATCCCGGGCTACCGTCCGATAAATCGCTCGGCGGTTCGTTACGAAAGGCAGTAATTAAGGTGTCGCCTATTTTCCAGGCGCGCGAGGGAAAATTCGAGTAGCCGGGACGTGGAAGGGGACGAGAGACGTCATATTTAAATGAAGCCATTGAATATTAGACGCGAGCTTAGCGAGCGATAATCAAATTTATTCTCACGGTAGATTAGGAGACGGGACATTTTTTACCACACGTGTAACACATTTCTCTTGATATGTTTAAGTCTAAAATTAAACCAATGTTACTTCACACAATGAAAATACCAAGGAGAAGGAACAAACTGTGAGAATGTTCTCTCGTAGACGCGCGAGTCTTTCTTCAATTTCCTGCGAACGACTACATTGTGAGTAATTTTCCAAATATAATATAAACATTTTAGGTTCCCCAGCAGGAAAATGATAATAGTTTATCCCTGGAATGTTTAAGCTGTCGCTATACCCAACACGCTAAGCGCAAGCGGTAACAGATAACGATTACACGTCATTTAGTGTAGATGTTAATCGTCGATAATTCTCGTAACGAATACCGTATTTGACGTTGGTTCATACGGTACGTAGCTCTGAACGACTTTTTCCCTTGATTAGTTGCGCATTTTTCCGTCAGTCGTCTCATTTATCTACTTACAATTAGATTACGTGGAAAGCGGTAGCCTAGACATTCCTAACGTGGACTATGCACGGAAGACCAACACGCTGCCTTCGAGTGTGTTCTTATCTTGTTAATTCTTACTCGGACAAAGAATTCTCTTTCGTAAAAAAAAATATGTATACATGTTCGCGGTGGCACGTAAATTATAAGGAAACGCTCGCTAATTACACACGGAGGGAACTTTCTCTTAAAATTTATCCTGAAAATCATACTGGAACAACGTGGCGTTTTGAAGAACTTCATGAGAGTTTTTTGAAATTTTACCATACCTTTTACTAGTAAGACTTTTTCTTTGACAAAATTCTTCGAAATCCCGCGTTGTTCCCACGATTACATATAATTTTTAGGCTAAATTTTGAAAGAAAAATCTCGCCGTGCATTTAAAACATTTTGATAAAAAGAACCGACTTTAAGTAGACTGCGCCAGTTCAATCGGGAACCTCTCGCTTGATACTCTCTAAAGTTCTTGGAGTGAAAATACTGCAGTGGAGAGAAAATATTGTCACGGAGTGAAATATTCACCCTATTGGAGTGAATATTTACTGCAACAGAGCGAATATTTACACCGATGGAGTAAATACTTCGCTCCATGGCAATATTTTCACTCCAAAAATTTTAGAGAGTAGGAGATAGTTTACTACGATAATTAATCGAAAGTACTGCGCGATCGCGCGACCGCCCACGATTTTCTCCGAATTAAGCTTAGGCCGATACGAATGACATTTAAAATGTATACCGACGCGTCGCGAAATCCAGAACAATCAATGCCGTTCCGGGAACACGTTGGGATAAAAGAGGGAACAGAGCTCTCATATCTGTATATAGACCTTCCCATCGAGCTCCCGAGGCGCGCAGAGAGTTGGATAAACGCGAGTCTGGTCGTTCTGGCGTTCGAGACGCTCGTCGTGCGTAAGATATCTATAGAAACGTATTTTTGTACCCGATACGATATCCACTCGCGCAGGTCGCAAGTTTTCGACGTACCGATAAAATCCCTAGATCACCTTGAGGACGCCTCCTCGTCGCGGTCACGTCAGCATACTCTCCCGCAAGATCCACGCAAACAATATTAGGCTGGCGTTACACTTGTCGTACGACAAATTTTTCAAGCGCGTTGATTGGCTGCAGGATAGAAAAGTTCTCGGGTATCTAGTAATTTTCTATTCAGCGGCCAATCAACACGCTTGAAAAATTTGTCGTGCGACAAATGTAATACCAGCCTTACACTTGGGTACTAGTACACTTGCACGACGAATTTTTTAAGCGCGCTGATTGGCTGCAAGCTAGAAAATGTCTAGACACACGACAACTTTTCTATCCTGCAGCCAACCAACACGCTTGGAAAAATTTGTCGTACGACAAATGTAAAGCCCGTAGCAGACTACGGATTGAGATTGGGATTAGATTGAACTTTGACCAATCACAGTAAAGTTTACTAATCTCAAGTTTAGCAACTTTTACTCTAATTGGTCGAATTTCAATCCGATCCGTAGTCTGATACGGGCTTAACACCAGCCTGAAGGTCGAATCAGACTAGCAAATGTCGGATTGGATTGGGATTGGCGATTGGCGATTGTCTTCCAGCCAAAATGTCGGCAATCGCTAGTCTGATTCGGCCTTAACACGGCACGCGCGTCCGTCTCTCGCGATGCCTGCGAGCGTGACGGGACAAACGAGCGAAACGTCGCGACCGCCGCCGCAGCGACTGCACCCGCTGCACCCGCGGAGACTGCGATGCCCCGAGGCTGATACGTCCATTAACAAATCATTCCGTTCGCGGCGTATGAATTTATCATACCGTTACATTTAGCACCATTGTTGCGCGCGCGCGCGCGCCCACACGACCGGAGCGACAAATAATTTTATATTAGCGTTGTCGACGTGCGCTCTTGTTGATTAATTGATGGTTAATTCCAGTCGCGAGAGAGCTCGGCGAACATCAAAGGTGTTGCGTGTGAGGGGAGTGGAAGTTGGAAATGGAGAGCGAGGAATAAATTAGGGCTTTTGAACTCGCGCGGGCTGCGCGAGCGTTGAAAAATTACACTTCGGACATTTTCAGCCCTTTACATTGCCCGGTGTGGATTTTCCCGATAGCTTTAAAATTGATTTTTCTGCAATCGAAAACTCGATTAAACATCAAGTTTTTTAATATACTCCCCCGACATTCCGCGTTTGAAACTATGCGATTAGATTTCTCTTGTCCATTTTAATGGACGTAATCTAAAGAAAAAAATCCCTCCATTTTCCATCGTTTACGATTAGAAGCGTCGCGTCGGCCTGATTTTCGTTCGAGATAGATCGATAAAAATTGGCTCGCGAATCCACAAGTGCGGAGAACATCCGACTGTTCCGCGGCGCTCCTGAGCCCTCAAGATCGAGGCCGACGCGGGAGAAATTTCGAGTGATTATCAGAAAGTTGGAATGTTCTTTCGACGGAACCGGACCAACTCGCAATTCCGCGCACGAGACGCGCGACGCGGAATACGTAACGATCCGACGACGACGGTGCACTCGCCGGTCGGTGGGCGAGACAGCACCGCCGCCGGTGCTGTGTAACCACCGGGGAAAAATAAATAATCCGGGCACACGGTGCGCGCCGAAGGTAAATACAGATTCGGCGGCTCGCGAAAAACTTTCTTATCGGGGACGTGTCCCCGTAAAGGGAGTTTGTCAGGACTTTCGGCAGGGAGGGGCGTGATTGCTCGCGTTCGGCCCACGATATTCGCGCGAAACCCCCGTCGCTTTGCGCAAACACTGGGACGTCGATACCGTCAGACTTGTCTTCAACCACACCCCCTCCCCTCTCCCGATAGCAATTAACGGGAAGTTAGAAAGACGCGAGACGCGCGGCCGTCTCCGTTTTGATTAAAACGTTCGAGCTCGATAATTGGTCGATAAATAATTTCGCCGAGGCGGTAAAAAGCGGAGCTAATGCCGCCCGTGATTTTTTCATCGACGCCGAGACCGGCGCGACAGTCGCGACTTTTGTTTTGCAACTCAAAGCGCCAAGGGCTACCGTCGTACAACGAAAGTTAAGTATGCAATAATGATTAGCAGGCGTAACTGGTTTGCCAACGAGCTTCGAAATAGGTCATGCCCCGGAGGTACGCCATTTAGAGAGTGCCGCCTACCTTTAAACCCAGAACGAAACTAATTTCTGCGCCGGAACGAAATTTCACGGCAATGTGCAGTAGCGCGTTGCGGAAGACGTATTGGAAATTTAACTCGTGCCCGGCCATTCATGTGTTTCCGATTATAACATTCCCCAGGTGCATATTGATACCGCGGAAGTCATTTCTATAAAATTCAGAAGATTTAAATATTGCATCCTCCTCCGACGAGAAACTTTCTTTTCTCTCGCTTGTAGAAGCTTTTTTTATATTTTTTCGTTAAATTCCCTGTCAACATCTCGGAGCTGAATTTGTTTATTCTTCAAGTTTTCGACAGTTTTTCCATACAGTTTCAAGACTCTTTTCACTAATTACTGCACTGAGAAACATTTCCGTCGGATAAACCAATTACATAATGTTTCCGATGGTCAGATTTTCCGATTAAATTACGTATTTATCTGGCGAAATACAGTTACCGATGAAATTTTGTCGAAAAGCCGATCATAATTTTCATCGGGTATACAATTTAATCGGATATATCCGCGCGGAAAGAAAAATGTAGCTACCGTACCTAAAACTGCATGCAACCAAATTTCAGTTATAAAATATTTTGCTACTG